CACACACACACACACACACACACACACACACACACACACACACACACACACACACACACACACACACTCTGACACACACACACACACACACTCATTCTCTGACACACACACACTCTGACACACACACACACTCATAGGGGGTTTCACACTGCATGACTTCACAATAGGAAGAATCGCCGACAGCTCTGTCTGGTCCGCAAACTACGTTTCACAACAAAACACACGCGAGAACTGATAAGGATATAACGCGAGAACCCGCGTGCGTCAGACCGGATTTCTCCAGCGAGACTGTAATTATAAAAAATATATATATATAGCCCGCAAATTGTCTGTGAGCTGATTTCCAGCTACAAGGAGAAAAAGAAAAGCAGATTATGCAGGAGGGAGATGCAGGGAACAGGGATTGGGTGTTCTGCAAAGAGAGTTGGAGGTAAATAATTTTGCAGTAACTGTTATGCTGATGTTGTGGCTGGTCAAGCAAATGTTTGTGCTTGTTTCTGTATGATATAATTGTTCATATATCTATTAAAATACTGATATTCTGGTCTATAACTCCTCCCCGAACTTCCCTCTGCCCTGTATCTTGGTCTCTGATTGGCTGTAGGTCATCGCCGATGTAGTTTTCAGTCAGAAATCATTGCACACAGCGTGATTGTGAATTGCCAACAGCTCCAGATATTTAGCATGCCAAATATTTCGCGGGCGTCGGCGACGTGTCGGCGATTCCCTCAGATCGCGTCTTTGATCATTCACACTGCGTGATTGTTTTGTTTGACCGATTTGCCTCCGATGTCGGGCATTTGTCGGCGATTTCACAAAACCTGTCGGTGAGTGAAAAATCGGGCTAATATCGTGCAGTGTGAACTCGGCATTAGTTGTGTTTGTTCCGCACGTGCTGTATCCCCGCCTCTGCGTTGCCAGGGTAACGTGATGCGTGCTGACGTCAGCAAAGGGTTAGCGCGCGTCGAGCAGGCGGCACCATTTCTCGGTAAGGTTTGTCGGTTTGTTATCGGTGCAGATGGAGGTGACAGTCACGATGGAGCCGCTGTTTCTGGCCTGGAGCAGCTACAGGAGGCGGAGGTTCCAGAGATGCGCCGATATTTGCTCAAAGCTGCTGTCAGAAAGCCCGTATGACCAGGTTAGTGAGCAGTTAGCGGTTAGCTGAGAGAGATTAGCGCTCATAAGCGCATTATAACTGTATGCCTGGATTCAGTGTACTACATTTCCTGCGGTCAGATTCTGAACTCCTAAAGTTTCCTGACATTTAACGATCTGATGATGTTCATTAAACATGTTTTATTGATTATGTGCTACTACACATCAATGTCTGAACTGAGGTGTTCACACTCTCATCATTACTGTGTTTGCCAAGCAGCCTGCTGCTTCTCATGTTTCTGAGGTAATTGTTTGTAAAATGTTCATGAAGCTCATCAACTGCTCCGTATTATAATAATTATGTTCCCAATATTTCCTCTGTTACTCACAGTATTCCCTGTACTGCATTCCCCATATTATTAGTGCAGTATTTCCTCTGTTAGCTTTGCTCAACCTTGTCCTTCAGTGACCTCCTGCTCTCCCTTTAGCTGTAACACACTGACCTGAAGAGTGTGAGGTCAGGTGTAGACGCAGCTGTGATCACCAGCCTCCTCTGTTGCTGGAGCTGAAGCTGATGTGGTCTGATGGGTTTTAGGCGGCGTGGAGCTTGAAGACGAGAGCTCTGACGGAGATGGTGTACATCGATGAGGTGGAGGTGGATCAGGAAGGCATCGCTGATATGATGTTGGACGAGAGCTCCATCGCCCAGGTTGCACGTGAGTATATAATTGTCCCAGCAAAGTAATTTACACTTCAGCCCATCAAGTCACGATTATTTGTATATAGTGCAGCTCAGATGTTCCAGGTCTGTAGTGAACAGCTTCACAGGAACTGTGCTTTAATGTCTATAAGCCCCAGACATCTGTCAGAGATGTATGTTTCTCCATTTCTTCTGCACATGTTTGGTTTCGTCAGGTCCAGGAACGTCACTGAGGCTTCCAGGAACGAGTCAGGGAGCAGCGCCCACTCCTGCTGTCAGGTGCGGCCTCATCTGCTTTCTCAGACTGTTTAAACTACAACGCCTGAAGCCTGAAGCTGTAGATTACTAGCAGCACTGTTCTAGTAATTAGAGTACGTGAGTGCTTTGACTCTGCTTTTCTAAGTAGGGCTGCATGATTTTGGAAAAAACTCTCATTCCGATATTTTGTTTTTCTGCAATATATATTGCGATATGAAAAAAAAAACAAAACAAAAAAAAACAGATGGCTTGAATAGAAAAAATAATCAATGATTAGGGTGATTTTGTAGGTGAGTAAATCAGCATAGAAAATAAGCAAATTACAAGCATAGATAAATATAATAGAACAAAGATACAAATGAAGCAGTGCTTTATATTTTTTTGGTAAGTCTAACAGTATTCAGGTACAGAAATGTAATAATCAAATGTAAAATAACACTGCATAGTCTTCACCGTATAAATTAAATTGATTAAATCTGTGTTAAAGCTACAAAAGTGATTTTTCTCTGTGTTTTGTTGTTTGATTAACATTCATGGCACAGAAAGCCTCAGGAACATTAAACTGCTCTGAATATACTGTTACACATCCGTTTTCTTTCTCAATTGTTTACCTTCACCCAAGCCATAAGCAAATGTGTTTACAAAGATACTTGCAGAGACATGCATTTTGACATAATTTCGCGTGTATGTGTCATGTGCGTCTGCGTGACTCTCACCGTGTCTACACCGGACAACAAAATACTACAGAACCCATTATAATCAGTGATGCTGTCTTGGATGCGGCGCGACACGACAAATCCCCGACAGTAAACTGCTGACTCGTTCTGTTTATGACGTACTGACACAAAGTTCAAATGATTTGCAGCGGTCCAGTGTAGACACAGTGTCTGTGTGTGAGCAAAGAAAACGATCAGTATAAATATAACGATCAGTATGCTAAACATCGTGGATGCGCACATCGTGATATCGCTGCTGAAACGATGTATCGTGCAGCCCTAGTTCTACGCAGTAACTGAAAACGTTCTGCCAAAACATCAATTCTCAGTTTCAGCTGAAATCGTTTCGGAGGGCCAAATCATTGACGTTTAATTAGTTTAATTAGTTTCTCTGATTGCGTGTTTTGACTGTATCAGTGTGTATTTCATGCTCATAATGTGGATAAACTACAACCGCTAAACATAGGTCAGACATGTGGACACTAGTGATTAGGGCTGGGCAATAAAACGATAACCATAATTATCACAATATAATTTTCCTCAATAAAACGATAAATGTTCGATATAACGTTTATGCGCTAGAAGCAGAACAAAACAGTGCGACTCATTTAAAGCGCGTCATATGTAGCTCACTAGAGCAGATGTGTTTACTCGCTGATGAGTCTCGGTCACGCAACACTAAACAGCGCTGTGAGATCTTTTGACATGAAGTAAAGTTTCAGCTTTCACCTTACAAAATTCAAACAATAAATCACAAACAAAGCATGGCTTAATTTGGAGATTAATGCATCGTTTGCTAGTTTGTGCTTTTTGCTGTTCAATATGAGAGCTTCTGTTTACATATTTGTTGTCAAATGAACTATAATGTGATGTTTGATTAAGTCGTGTAGCCCTGTAATCCTTGCCTTTATCCTCACGTGTATGTTATTGCTCATATGAGGGTCGATTCCTCATTGAGATATTTAATGGTGTTATGTGTCCTAGACCGATGACTCAGTCGGGGCGTCCCGTCACAGGGTTTGTGAGGCCCAGTACACTGTCTGGTAGACCAGAAACTATGGAGCAGGCCATCAGAACCCCGCGAACAGCTCGTCCAGTCACCAGTGCTTCCGGCAGATTTGTCAGGTTGGGAACGGTAAGGTGCTGTGTTGTTCTTCAGAACTGATTTTATGGATAGCATTGTTTTCCTCACTACACACAGTATATACGTACAGTGATCTGTCATGCCAGCAAAGCACCTTAAACTGAAGCGTCAGCTGTTGCACTGGACTTCCATATACAGTAGTTTCCTGATTCTGTTGTTTGACTTGCAAACATTTGTATGAAGTGTTGTAACTGTGTTTTTCGTTACCGTGTCAGGCCTCCATGCTAACAAATCCGGATGGACCTTTCATTAACCTTTCTAGGTTAAACTTAGCAAAGTATGGCAAGAGACCGAACTTGTCCAAGGTATATTTAACCTAATCGGAAAACTGCATGTAAAACTTACATTGTGAATCAAGTAGTTCCTTTTAATTGTGATCTAATGTAATATCTGTGTGTATTAAACATCATAATATTTAACTAATACTCCTAAGATGTGATTTTATAAACTCTTGTCTCTCCCTCTCATACTCAAGACCTTGTTTGAATACATCTTCCATCTTGAAAATGATGTAAAAAATGTAAGTAGGTCTCTCATCATTCTGTGGTAATAGCTGTTTGCTGTGTATCAGACATTACATGTTCCTTTTTGCCCGTTTGCAGGCGTTAGAGCTGGCTGCTCTTGCCACTGAACATGCTCAGTTCAAAGACTGGTGGTGGAAAGTACAACTGGGAAAATGCTATTACAGGTGAGAATCAGTCAATAAAGAAACGCACACCTTTTTGAGGTGCAAGTTAAAGGAGCAGACTAAATGAAGAAAAAATTTAACTGCACACTCCCATAAGCACTGTTTGTTTATTACAAACTTTTCGGCCAAACAAGTAGCCTTTGTCAAAGTTGACTTGTTTGGCCGAAACAGTGTCTGCTATTAGGTAGAGAAAGACGATTTTAGTGCAAAAAACTTTATAAACTAAGCCTGAGAAACATAATATAAAAATCTGAAACAGCATATTATGAGCTGTGATGGGCTGGTAATATGTAAGCGCTCATGTACAGACGTGCTTTACTGCTGTTAATGCATTAGTGACATTAGTCACACTGTTCCTGTTAGTAGTGTGAAAACCAGCTGTTCTCTATATTGTGATTATTTCATGTACAGAAAGCTCAGTAGACACGACTGTGATGCAACAGGAGTCGATCTAAATATCATGCTGCAATCAACACTTTTCACCATTAGTTCATCTTGGCTGTTATACTAAAAAAGCAGTAAAAGTTTTCAAGAGATTTCCACATGTAATACTCATTTCATTCATCAGGTTTGGAGAAATGCGGCATTGCATCAGTGTCTCAGCAATGGATGCTCTGCAGTGAATGGGTGCCGTCAGAATGAGTGTCCGAGATGTCTCAAGATGTGATGGACTGGAGTGCTGTGGATTATTGTGATGTTTTTATCAGCTGTTTGGACTCTCATTCTGACGGCACCCATTCACTGCAGAGCATCCATTGCTGAGACACTGATGCAATGCTACATTTCTCCAAA